TTTTTTTTTTTTTTTTCACCCTTTCACCCAAACACTCAATGAACAATCTTTTTAGTGCAATTTTGAATTGAAGAAAAAAAAAAAAAAAAGTTGGCTAAAAGCAGCAGCAACAGCAGTAGCCACAGTAGCAGTGAGTAGTTTAAAAACACCATCATAAAATGTTAGAAAAGGAAGAAGAAAAAAAAAAAAACTACTCAACGAAAAACGATATCATAGACATAAATTCTGGTAAATATTTGAAACATGAACCTTTTGCTTACAACCATAAACTACCACCAAATATCGTCGACCAAAAGGGAACTTCTTAGTACCATGTGATCCCTCCGTCCAACGTATAATGCAATAAGATACTGTTGCCGAGAGGATTAATGCATGACTTTTTCCCCTCATTCCTCCTCTCGTCTTCGTCCTTCCCCTTTTTCCTTTTATCGTTTTCATCGGTTCACTTCATTGAATTACTGGAAAGCTGCTAAACTTTAGTGCAAAAAGAAAAGGCTTTTCTTTTTTCCTTTTTTTTTTTTTCACCAATGCTTTGCCTACTTCACCAAAGACATCAAATTGCGATTACTGAAATAGCTTAGCAATAGATGAATGAATAGATGGCTTGTTCCTCTGGCTTTGCATGTTAGTTTTAGCTCAGCCATTTGATTAACTTTTGGCAAGTAAACAAGAATACCTAATATGTATCATATCTGTCATATGGTTTGCTATTTTTTTTTTCAGAACAAAGAAATAAATGTGTCTTCATGAATGTCTTCAACAAATATGTTCATTCAGTTCAGTAACAACAATCTCCAGTTTTTTTTTTTTTCCTGTCCAATAGAATCCGAATGTCAACAATAGCAGCAGCAACAGCAGCACTAACAACAGCAACAGTTAACAACAATAATGCAACATGAAACCAATTTGTTTGAACTGTTTGAAATTATCAGCAAAATAAAAAAAGCAACAAATTAGTCCCGTTTTTACAAACACTTTAAGGCCACTAATAGATTCCATTTCAATAAATTGCACTTTTTTCCAAAAAAAAAAAAAAACTGAACAAAAAAATAATAATTATAATTATATATACCCCCAAAAATTAACCTGTGCCCGCACTAATCATTTCTATCATTATACAAATTAAAATATTGAAGAAAAACAGAAATTTATCAGCCTTAAGTAACTTTTTTCAAAAAACTATACACATTTCCAAAGAAAATTAAAAAAAAACGGCAATTTCCATATGAAAAAGCCTTTTTTTTTTCTAAATCGGATTTAGGAACAATAAACCGATAAGGAGTAAATACAGTTAAGCAGGAGAAAATACAGCAAAAAAAAAAAGCTTATAATAATCATAAAAATTCCCGTTGTTTTTTGCTACCAATACTGAAGCCATTCAAAATCAGTGATAACAGTGCAAACGTTTTTATTTATCTGCCACATATTCGCATGACAATCAAAGACTTTCCTTCTTTGTTTTAAACTATATTAAATTAACTACTGTTAACCTCAGCATATTGATTCCAAATTTGTACTACCCGACCAATAATTATTAGCAGAACTGCCAAAAAAACAAAAAAAATTTTTCAATAGTTTCTGCAGTCAAAAGTTAGCATTTTCTGTCAAATTCTGTTTGTTCCAGAAACCTTACCAAATTAATCAGCACACAGCAATAATATAATTGTCTACTACTGATGAATAAACTGTACGTAACAGCAAGTCTACAGTTTCGGATACATAAATACCGGTTCAGTTGCTTTGAAAAGATAAACCGTATGTGACTTTTTTTCCTTCTACCTCCCCCCAGACTCCCCTCCTCTCCTGGCATTACTTTCTGGAAAAATATCACCTTATCTAAGTGAAATCACCAATTATCTAGCTTTTAGGTAATCGGAAACAAAACAGAAGATAAAAATTCATTATTTTCAACGACAATTTAATGTTCGTTAAACCATCTTGATTGACCACATAAAATTCTGTTGCACCGCTTCAATAAACCTTCTCGTCATCCGTTTCCACCATCTTTTTTTTTCATCCTCGACATTCAAACATCATCTAATGACTGTAATGTGTATTTGTAACTGTCACTTGTAGTTCTAAAATTTCACAATCTTCACTATGTCATTTGCAGTTTCCACTAGTTGAACTTCTTCCTTCCTTCTTTCTTCTTACTCTAAATAATTTTGCTCTTTTGCTATTCCGAGCTTTTTACCAACTTATGGCTTCCATTTAGGTATTACTGTTTAATTGTCAATTTATGTTCATACACATAATAGCCTGTCTGAAAAAAAAAATGTATGTAATCCAATAAGAAAGTTCAGTTACAGGCCCTGATTTGCTAGTAACCAAGTGACATAAACAGACATACCAGTGTGCTGTTTACCTGCTAAAAAAAAAAAAAGAAAAAGGTAAATAGTTGCACATAATACATTACTGAAAACTATTAGTCCCTAAACTGAAATGCTTCTCTCCAAACCACAATCACTAATCTCTGGTCCCAAAAAATTTACTTAGTCTCTTCTAAGCCAAACAAGAAAAAATAAAGTAGAAATGTTTGAACAACAACAACGACAGCAACAGCAACAAAAACAATTCAAAACCCTCTTTGACAACGATTTCCGTCTATCTAAAAAAACCTCAGTTCCATTAAGCTCCAACTTCCGCTCTTTGAAAGCACTGACAACAAAAAACAACTACCCAGTTTAAGGTTACTCAATAACGATAAAACTAGTCTTTTTCAAGATCACTGTAACCAATCCCTCTTAAATTTGTTTATTCAAACACTAATACCGCCGCCTAGAACGTATCTATACCTTCGTTCACTTTCCTTTCGGCATCACTTGTCCGTTATCCTGCAACTCAATCTGCCAAACAAATAAACCTCTTTTTATCCCCACAATTTCGACTACAGCACCTAGCCACAGCAGCATGAGAACCCATAATATAAGAACCAAGTTACATTTTAAAAAAACTCCAAAAATCTTCTGCCGTATATCATCTCACCACTCACGCTCCATACCTACACAAAATACCAATAATCTTACACTTCTTCTGCTCTACTAAGAAAGCCCTTGAAAAACGGTTTATACGCCACTACTTCATTTCTAAAATAAACCTTAAAATACGAGTATCAAAAGTGGAAAATAAAATAGCACAGAAAAAAAAAAGGAAAAAAAGAAAAAAAAACAATCAAAGAATCACAATTATAACGGTTACAAGACCATGGACAACATTCAACAAGACGTTCTTAAATTTGTTCAGGTAAAATGGAAAGCAAATGACACTACTTTCAAGTACTAAATATGAGAAAAACTACACTGGTAAGCACAGAACTGTCTCGATTAGTCTCCAGCTTTTGGAACACAGCAACTTCAATGAACTTCATAACTCCATCTAGTTACAACACCACCTTTCAATTTTCAAAGTAAAACTTAAAAAAATAACAAATACAGAAGAAAAACGCATTATTTTTATTATAAAATACCGATGGAAATTCATTAAAAGTATATTACACATTCAAAAAGACAAATATTATACAACAGTAAAGAGGCTTTTTTTTGCGCGAATCGACCAGAGTTAGATCGCTAATTGCGACTTCCATTCATCGTCTTCAGATACTGTCATCTGAAATCAAAAAATTAAATGTATCAACAGGCTCTCAATTATAAGAAATCTAAGAAACTTCTCCCACGACAGTATGAAATCTGAAGAAGTAAAATAGCCACTTAACTATGCAATCTTCGACTGCAAAAAAAAAGAAAAAAAATGATTATAATAATAATAATAATAAAAGATCGTAGTTCGAAGAAAGCAATAACAATTCCGAATGCGATCCAAGGTTTGGAATTATTTTTCTTCTTAAGCAATAAGTCAGCAAAAAAATTATTTCAAAATATTCAAACGACTTCAGTTCTCGAGAAATGTGTGAACAATCTACATCCATCAGAACGCTTTGCGATATTGAACAATAGTTTTTAAAACCTCTATAGTAGCAATCAAAGAAAACTCAGATGCTCCTGCTGTTGAATATAAGCCCCTTAATAAAAATGGGAAAGATGCAGAGCTGATACACAAAGCCTATTTTTCCAAACAGTAAAAAATTCACCGTATCTGCTGTGACCACACTTTTTTGTGAAAGGAGAAGCACTGCTAACACTCACCATGAAACCACCATCCAGTCCGACTCGGACTTTTGCTACAGGTGCTAACATACAACGCATTGTCTGGTGGACGCTTCTTTTCCTTGCAAGAAGAAAGCATAGAAAGGATAGAGAGGCAAACGGATTGGACAGACAAAGCAGGGCTCCAGTCATCTCCCAAGATGGACAGACATATGTGTCCATTCGAATAAACATGCGGATGGATCGGGATATTGTCACCAACGAATATCACCTCTGGCGATATAAAAGGATACTGATCCGTAAACCGAAACTGCAATTAAAATAAAACTTTAAAAAATATATTATGAAATTGAAAGTACTCTTTTACCTCAGTAACAAAAAAATGAGGAAAAAAAGTTTGCGGCCATTCAGAAATCAAAAATCACTGAGAACTGATTGAAGAAATACTATAATGCAAAAAAGAGTTAGACGCTTACCGACTCTTCAAATGAATTAAAAATAGAAAAAAAAATAGCAACACCGGAAACCAAAAATTATAAAGCGAGGTACTCAAGTACAATTAAAAATTAACAAAAAACCAAAGAATGCCACGAATATCTAAGAACGAACTAATAACAAGATGAAGCTAAAAACCAAGCCAAAAAAACTTTTATCACTTGGCATTCAGTATTAATTTAAAAATTAAAAGTACATAAAGGCCGACCACGAGACGTCACAAATCCGAATCAATCAAAAAAAGAACCAAGAAAACTCTTTTAAAGAGATAATCTAAGCAATATCACTTATGTAGACAATGATTTAAGAGAATATGGCAAGAAAGAGTTGCACACAAAACTTTAAAGTAACCATTAAATGATCATATTGAAACTGTTACCTGTAGCATAAATTTCTCACCGGCATATATAGTATTCGGAGCACCTTCGACATGCACAATCCATAATCGGAGATCAGAAGTTGCATCCGGCCTCACCCGTACTCCAACTGGAGGATCTACGGAGAGCTGTTGCAATTCTTTTGCTAATCTTCTCTGGCTAGAATCCATAATCTACAAAGAGGGATAAAGATATCACTCATGCACGTGGCTAGCCTAGCGAAAAGCAAAAAAAAAAAAAAAAAATAAAAAAAATAAAAAATAAAAAATAAAAAATAATTTAAGGATTTTTAAATAATGTCCTTCTTAAAAACTGTCAACCGATGGAAGTTTTTTAGATAAAAAAAAATCAATTTACCGACTTTATAGACTAGCCTAATGGGGTCTTATGTCTCTGCTTCTTTTCTTTGTAAAAGTAAATCTTGACGACAAGCGCTAAAAGAACTTGCTCATGCAAAAGAACTTCTCAAAAAAAAAATAAAAATAAGACTTATCCTCATCCTGAGCAAATTTTGCAAACTCATTACGCTACCTCAACAGAAAAAAGTGATTCAAAATTCATATAAGCAAGTCGCTGATTAAAGCTAAATAACTTTTTTCCACAAGTAGCTTTACTGCCCTAAAAAAAGCAGCCTACTTTTCGTTACAGCCAGCTTCCCATAACTATCCTTCACTAAGCCTATTCAAAGCTGTCAAAAACAATCAAAAGATAAACATTAAAAAGAAAAGAAACTTACTTTGTGAGATCTATAGCTGAACGCAAAAAAACTCTTCAAAGTTAGCCGTATCCACTCTGAATAATATCATACACTATACATAGCCAAAACAGTATCACAAATCCAAATCATCTACGTCCATACCAATAAATTTCAGTTGAGCAACTCCGTAACACCGGCTTCTAGAACCTCTGAGAACGATAAAACAAAGCTCTGAAAATGACTATTTTACAGAACTACAAAATTCGCATTATTATCTACAAAAAAATACGCCGAAAGGAAGACTTAGCAATTTAAAAACTATGCAGACAAAAACGCATAAAAAAAATAACACAGAAAAACCACACAATCAATAATTCAGCATTCATTTTCATCCAATTAGCTACCTTAATAAAATCTGCCTAATAACTACGTCGAGCTTTTAAAACTTATTGTAAACGTTAACAGTGGTTCGCATTTAGATGCTTATCTCAGTAACTTCTGTAGACATAAGAAACAAACAATTTCTTCAAGAAATATCATCTTCCTTACATAACAATCCTCTTGACTACACACAAATGACCAGTAGTAAACTCATTTCAGCCGGCTTACACAGTCAAAATATTCTAAATTTATTTTTCTACTCCAAAATCTATATGCTACTCATAAAATCTGAAAATTATTAATAGATCTGCTTGTCAGGATGACAGGAAGTCGTCCAACAAATTAATTGGCTCATTTTTCTATCCAGCAAAAAAAAAAAACAACATGCACATCACAAAAATCCCTGTATATCGCTTGATGGCAACGATACCGATTTATCATCTGAAATAACTTGAACGCCATCAATGACTGTACGCAAGTTCCAACAAATGACTATGGCAACAGTTCATGCTAAAATATCCTACCCATGATAACTGAAGGCAAAAGCGACTGAAGAACCGACTGCGGTATTCTGCTCTTCCTTACCTTTGAAATGACAAAGCTAACTTAACCAATGTTAGTATTTAGTTGAATGGGCAACCTGAAGCAACACTGA